GCCAGAGTAACCCTCCATAAAGGTGCTGAAGCTGGGAAGGGAGGTGGTGGCAGTGGCAGTGATTTCAGTGCTGCTCAGGTCCATGGTCAGCTTGGCATAGTCAGGGTTCATGATCTCCGAGCTGTACTCCGAGCCATATGCGTAGGTCTGAGACGCATAATTTGAACCGGGCGGTGAAGGGCTATACTGCGCTTGCACACAGGGCATATCTGCAAGGGCAAAGGGGAGCGTTAACAACAAGCCCAGCATGCCGAGGCCGTGGCCCAGGCCCTCACGAATGTCTTCCCTAAAAGCTTTCCCACATTTCACGGAGCTTAGTTAGACGCCCAACTCCCACTCCCGCCTGAACAAGGGACGTATAAATTAGTCTCGAGTCTTTGCCCTTCAACAAGAAATATGCGTCGGGGATCGACTAAGCGTTAGGTATTAGGGAGCCTGCTCTCATCGAGTCGAGGGAGCAACTCAAATTTATACCAGTGTCAGTGAGAGACGAATCCATCTCAAGCTGCCCTACATCTGCTGCTTAATATACATAGGTGTCAATGAGAATTAGATAAGCAGAATGAAAACAGTTTATGGCTCTAAATCTATCTCTCTATGTGTGCAACCATGCCGTAAAATTTTCATGAAGGGTAAACGAGATTATCAAATGCATAATATTAAAAATTATATTTATTTTACAAGAAACAGCATCTGCAGTGCATGTCAGAGGAATGACTCAAATCATAGTGTTTGCTACGTAAGACTTCCAAACATCAATTTTGTTTTCTCTACTCTGGGCCTTTGAAGAATATTTCTGGTCAGCTAATAATTTAAGGTTGCTGTCTAACTAGTAGCTTTAATGCTTACTTGTGGTAGAACATTCTCCTAAAAAAGTGGGTGGTACAACATATCCCTAAATTTGCAAACATGTAAGAGAAAAAGTACGTGGTATTTCTGTTTCTGTTTTTATAGGAAAGCAAGGTTGAGGCTGATAGTACAATTGTTTTTATCCATTAGTCATAAAAAATAATGTGGTTCACTGATAGCTGGGATGGTTGAACCAACACAGTGCCTGGTTATAAAGACTTGATTTTTTTTTTCTTTTACATTTCTTACTAGTCTGCTGTTTCTTTTGTTGCTCTCAAGAAATAATGGACCTAGTCCTGCAATCCATTTGAGGTTCGCCTGACTAAACACCATGAGATTCTAGCCCAATATTTGCAACCCAAACTAAAAGTGCCTGGTGTATTTCAGTTCCATAGCAGAGGAACAGAATCCATCTATTAGTACATATTCTCTTGTAAAGAGAAAAGTAAATGTGGAGAAAATATATATCAAAATTAAGTGCAGTTCTTCTGTTCTTAATTGTGGTAATTTATATTCCAAAAGCACTTGAGAAACAATTCATACTAAAAAAAAAAAAAAAAAAGCTGCTCTGAAAATAATAGGGTTTTCCTCAGTATTTTAAGAACTCCCATCACTTATGATTTTAAAATACTCACTTGAGCCTGGCATGCAGGAATCCAAGTAATTTGTGTTAAATCAGCTTTTAATTCTTTCCCGCCTGCTTTGCAGATAAACATATTTAAACTAAGCACCAGATTTCAATTATCTTACTGTCACAAACCATTCAGATCTTTCTTCTTCCTGAGAAAACACTAAAAACTAAGAAAAAAATAGTGCTGTTTTCTGAAATAAAGATCTTCCTGCTTGTAAATCCAAACACTTAAAGAAAAAAGCAGGCAACTCTTCCACAAGCCTTGCCTCCCAATGCTATTTATGTATTTTTCTACTGTTCTCTTTTTTTCCTATCAATTTCTGTCCGTGCCATTCCACGCACACACATTTCATGGCAAGTCCTATTACAATCATTTGTTAGTTTAAGGTCCATCTGTTCAAACGTAGTGATCAGTGCTTAATCAAATAAAAAGGGAAAGAAATTCCTTCCGTGCACCTCCACTGAGAAGTGACTGAGGAACACAACGGAATGAGGAGACAGATAATGTCACAAGTGGATGTGTTGATACAAAACCCTACGAAGGAAAAAGGCTTTTTTGCTAGCTCAGAAAATAAGCAGGAGTTCAGGGAAATAGATCATTATGAGCTTTTTTTCTGAGCATAACAGGGTTATGTCACTGAATTCCGTGCAAAGTGGAGTAAGAAAGCAGAAGTCTAAAATAAGTTCGACCCGAGGACAGAAAAAAATATCTCCTACCTAAAGGTCTGGTCCGCTCTGCAGGACTCCTCCTACCTTGCCCTTTGCCAGTGCACTCGACTGACTAATTCTAACCCCTACTTTTCCACTTAGGGCACCAATATTAATTACCCAGCAAAGTGAATAACCTGGGATTTTTTTGTTCTTTACCCAACAATATTAAAAAAATTTTTTAAAGCCCCACAGGAGGCACATTGAAGAGCAACCTGTCATCAAAGCCCAAATGAATGGGTAAAACATCAAGGGGGGGACATTCAGAGCTACCACCTCATTATTCTGCTATCTCTGCGAGATCCTGACATAAGGGACGCCTAGTTTAACGCCAATCAAGCCGGGATCCTCACGGGGACACTACCATCCCACCCATTTTCCCCCCTTAAAAGCTGGCACGTCTTCACTTCAGGGCTCACAGGCCCCATGCGCAGCCCTGTGAAACGCGGCCGCTGCCCGCAGCCTTTTCGGATTTAAACAACCCGCGGCCCCGCTACGGGACGTCGGGGACCGATGATGCCAAAGGGATTTGGGATGAGTAGGGGGCCACGGCAGCAGCTCTCGTAA